GCACAGCACAAGTAATCAAACAATGCTTTCAAAGTAATACACCAAATACATCCAAATGTACAATCATAAATATAATTATATAGTAACAGTGACATAATATATATTTAGGAAATAATTACTATGCAAATGCAATGTTGATATGCATTATTTATTATTACTCACAGTGAGGGAGAGCGAAGTCCTAGCTTTGATTCTGTCCTGGAGGAGCACTAGATGGACCTGGGCGATCTAAGCAAAGTAAGAATGACACAAAAAGAAATAATTATATCAGACAAAATATCTCCTTACCCTTCTAAGAATTTTATTTTATATTCTAAATTTTTCTACGTAATTTAATCTCGATATCTAATTTCTTTTCTGTACTAAAATTTTATCTTTCTATCTAGCTCTATTTTATTTGTTTTCGTTTGAATTATATTTTATTTCTTATTTTATTTTCTATTAAAATTTATTTTATTTTCTATCAAAACTACCGAAATTTCGGCAGCATCTCCCCTAAAAATTGGACTATCCACCTGTTAAAATATCAACAATATATCTAATATTTCCAAACCACACAGCCTATCCATCGGTCAATCAAACAATCAAATTTTCCATCCTCCATCAATCTCAACATCACCACACAATAACATTATGCTTAAACTATCTTAAATCTTAATTAAATCAACACTAAAATTACAAAGCTATTAACTATCCACATTTACCAAATTAAATTAATTACATTAATCCACTACAAAGTAATAAGTTTAATTTAATTAACCAACATTACTAACATTAACTTAACTAAACTTAACTAACTCATTAATTACAAATAATAAAAATTAATTTCATTAACTAACATTACTAAATTAATCTACTACAAATAATAAAATTAATTTAATTAACTAATATTACTAACATTAACTAGATTAACTAAAATTATTAAAATTAAACTAACTAAATTTTAATTAACTATAATTAATAATGAATTAAATTAATTAAACTAATATTTTTACACTTAATGATCTAATTCTAAACTCTTATCTATTTAGATTATACCTAAAAAAATAGTAGCTGCTGGAATTATTTTGACGGAAATGGAGGTTTCACGTGCGGAATGAAGAGAGGTGGGGTTGGTGGCCGGAGGTGCACTGGCGCAGCGGCAGAGCTGCTGTGACGCCGGCGGAGGCCGATCTGCAGTGCGGCAGCGACGGCTATGACAAGGCTGGTGCTGCTGCTTGTAAGCGCGACAAAGAAGGCCAACGCGATCTGGCCGAGGAGACGAGGAGCTGCTGGCGGAGCTGTTGCGTTGCCGAGCTGCAGTAGGGGCGGTGGCGGAGTGGCAGTGGCGCGCGGCTCTGCTGCGTTGCCTTTGTCTCGCCAAGAACGCAGGCACAAGGAAAGAAAAAGAAAGAAAAAAAGGAAGAAAGGAAGAAAGGAAGGAAGAAGACGAAGAAGAAGAGGGAAGAGTGGCAGTGGCGCTGTGATGGCAGTGGCGATGGAGTGGAGATGCGCTGGTGAGGGGGGAGTGAGTTTAGCATTGGAGATAAAAGAAAAAGAGAATTTTCTATTCGACGATTTCGATTCTTTCTTCCAGTTCGATTTGGCCCAAATCATTCGATTTTCAACGGTTTTTTCGATTTTTCATCGATTTTTGGTTCGGTTTTCTTGATAAGTTGACACTAATATATATTAATTTCCAGGCTGGTCGTACATTAAATTTGATTGGAATCTTTGAAAATCAAAAATTCGGTTGGTGCAATTTCCCCTTAAAAATAATTCGTCCTCGAATATTTCTAGTTGCTAGAAACAAGGATGAACCGTTGTTTACGGACATGGTGGTGTAATTCTCACATAAGCTACAATGCTAAAGTTGTGGACATTCACATTCAGTAGAATTGTAACATTCCCTTCCCGGTACCACCCGTAACCCGATAAACGAGTTGAGGACGTTACAAAAACTGGTTGACTGTATATGGCCTGAATGCTGAAGGATCATAAATGTATTTGACTTATAATAGCATGCTATGTTGTATACAAAATAATTGTAAGTTCTATATTTACAAAAACATGTACTAGTGTCAAATTAAATGGGCCACTTTGGTGCCTGTACATCCATGAAAGGATATACAAAAGATACCATCAATGAGTAGCTACTGAAGGACTGAGGTTTCTACAGAATTGAATGCAGCAGTGTAAGCCTATACTCTTACGGTCCAATCTTTCAAAAACTGCGAGTTAAAGGTACTCGGCTGAGCAATTAAAGCTAGTGGAATATTCAAGATAAGAAAACAATTAAACACATACATGTATAGAAAGAACCATGTAAACACATTGGAGATATAAGCACAACATCATGATACTTTCATGATACCTTGTTTCTTTGTACTGTTTATATACTGTATAATTCTGAAATGTTATGTCAAGATATTGTATGGCTCCTAAGGTTATAGTGGAAACGAAGTGATAAGAAAAACTGTATGTGAATGGTGATATTGTATGCTTGGTGCTATGGCCATATATAATCATATCCACTTCAACGGCCTGTAGCCGCAGGTATCAAAATGTCATTGAGGTGCAGATTGCATTCCTATGTCGCGACGATTAGCCTTATCTACATGCGTTTTCTGTAACCTTCAATGGAGCCTCAATGTTGGTATGTCAATAATTTAACACAATTATTATATTTGTTCCAACACTTCATAATTCATATGTTATTTGATATTCACATCACCTTGTTTTGCTTGCATGTTGTTTTATACATGTTCTAAATGGTTAATTTTGTAATAAAATGATTGAGGCTTACAAGTTGAGCAAAGGAATCCAATTGCATGAAGAATAAAGTCCACAAGTGCATTGAAACCAAGTCGCGAGGCGCCTTGCAAGGTCGCGGCGCTGTAAAGCACCAGATGAGGAGACAGTGGTTATCGGGCACAAGGTCGCGACGGCGTACTTGAATCGCCCGAGCGCAGAAGTGCCAATGGAGACAGAGAGTTTGAGGCACAAGTCGCGAGCGCGCATTGAAAGTCGCGAGCGCGAGATTGCCAAAGAAGAGTCAGAGAAGTTTCAGGCGGAAAGTCGGGGTGCGCATGAATCGCGACGCGAGAAGCAACGCAGAGCTCGTCATGCAATTCGCGGCGGGCGCTTCCGTTTTCCAGCTTGCATGTCTTATCTTTTGTCATATTCTCTCAATATGACAACTCCGATTTGGATGATTCAACAAAACCCATGTAAAGCTAACACATTAGAGAACAATAAACTATTCTATACATCCTAATTCCATCTTAAATGGGTCAAAACTCAGATAAAGTTACTGGTAAATTTCAGCAAAACCTGTTTCATTCATTAAACTCACTATTTACCTTCCTTTTATTCAATACCTCCCTGTTTCTCACCATTACCAGTCTCCACTTCAACATGAAGCAATATTGTATATTAGCAACACACCACAAATTCATCATGCAAGACTGTGACATCCCAGTTTGGGCACACATCCCAGGCTTGGGGCACTACACCTTAGGCGACTAGTGTGACGCGTTTTGGGCTGGCAGAGCGGAGGTTTCCCTGGCCCAGAAACAAAACCGTGAGGGTTCAGGCCAGGTTTGGCATCCAAAGCGAACAATATCACACTAGGGCTGGGCTGTTACAAGAATACTTGTTCTTCTGAGCAGCTAGAAGGATGAACCAAGAAGATGAGATAAATATTTTTGAGTTTGTTAGTCAAACCGGTGGAACTAATTTTTATTAAATTTATGAAGACAAACCAATGGGAAGAAAATCTAATTTATAGGGAGGGTAGGATGATTATGAGATGAATCTACCCTCAAAGTCTAGATATCTACCTTATCACCATAGTTAATTTAAACTTGAGTTGTATTATATCTACAAGTCGTCAAATCAAGTAAACTATTCATAACCAAAAGATTCAACACTAGTATTCACCTTTACGCGTAAGAATTTAAGTTCTTCATAACCTCTGCTCAAGTAAGGGTTATTAATCTCACTAGCTATATATCATGTGTCTTACATCGATGTATCGCCTCATTTATCTCTCACTAGCTATGAAAGAAGTCAATATGTTTAGTTATGAAAGAAGTCAATATGTTTAGTTAATGTTTATGTTTATGAATATTTAGTTACGTTTGTTGAATATATTTAGCTTCATTTAGTTATTTATTTAAATTTTAAGCAAATGTAAAATTTTATACTTAAAAAAATCGATTTTTTTACCAGAAATAATCCATTTGAAGTGAGACGAGGTACGTGATCTGTCATACAAAGCCTTGCATGTTGACATCGGAGCCACTCAGCCAAATAGGGTGAAGTGAGGTTAAATACTTCCTCCTCCGATTTGCTTGTTATTCTTTTTTTTTTTTTTTTCAATATCCCAAAATAGTTACAAAATTTATAAATTTATACTAAGAGTTAAAAAAAAAAACAAAAAAGCAAATATGGAACAGAGAATGTATTTCACAATAAACGTAACAACAATATCTTTTTGATAAATCTGCACCAATGCATTTCAGGTGAAGAATATAGATTTCAGAGGAAAAGAATTCCTAGAACAGGAAGAGAAATTTTTACTGTTCAACCATTGATCAAAGCACGGTGGTTTTCACTAATATCTGTAGGATGCAACATTTGGCAATATAAGTTTTGCCTGAGCAATGCTAGAACCATGAAAAGTACATTGGCCTAAGCTAAACATCGAAGAATGTATAGAAACACCTTTATAACACCCTTCTACATATTAAAAATTCTACCAGGAATCAAAATAAAGTCAAATACTTCTGCATCATCCTGCAGGTCAAAGCAATTGTAGATACTATCAAATTGTCCATTAAACATTTCAGAGAAAAAACAATTTAAACCAAACATTATATGAGCTACCTGATCAACCATTCTATGAATGGTATCTATATCCAAGAACAACCATGATCCCTAACAACCTTGTTTTCTTAAATAGCTTTGTTGAAAAATCAGATCAGCCTCTGCATATAATTAAAACTTAAATTGACAGATTTTTCCAAATTAAATTCATCCCACGATTCAAAACTAATTATTATTAAATCTAATTAATCAACGAGAACATTTCCCTGTACATTCAATCAGAGGAAGAGAAAAGGCGAGAGATTATTTCCAACCAACCATTTAAAAAAAATATATTCAACAACAGAAAAAGGGGAAAAGAAAACTAATTTTCTGATTCAAACATCAGGCTGAATCTCTCAGAAAACTATTCCATTAAGAGCTAGTAAATTTGGTAACTGCTTTAGTCCCTTCAGAAACAGCGTGTTTTGCGAGCTCTCCAGGAAGAACCAATCGCACAGCAGTCTGAATTTCCCTAGATGTAATAGTTGGTTTCTTGTTATACCTAGCCAATCGAGATGCCTCTTGTGCAAGTTTCTCGAAAATATCATTAATAAAACTGTTCATAATCCCCATAGCTTTACTTGATATCCCAATATCAGGATGCACCTGTTTCAACACCTTAAAAATGTAGATCTTATATGTCTCGCTGCTCTTCTTTATCTTCTTCTTCTTCTTCTCGCCGCCTTCCTTCGAGATCTTCTTCTCCGCCTTTGGTCTCTTCTCCGCCGAGGCTGGAGATTTCTCCGCCACCGGTTTTTTCTCAGCCGGCTTCTTTTCGGCCTTCGGTGCCATCAAACGAACTCCAAAGAAATTGAAGGGATTTAAATCGAACTGGAGTGAATTAAGGGGCGATCTGTTTGTTTGGTAGATGTGTGCGATTGCGAAAGAGGATTGCTTTTAAAGGGAGGCGGGGTTCGTTATGATTGGAAGATTGGGGCTCACGCCGATCGGTGATGTGGCGTTGATCTTGAGCGTATATAATTCAAGCGTGCAAGAGAGAAGGAAATGGACGGTGTAGATTCTATTTTTGTGCTTTGGGGTTCTGATAGAAGAGTCGTAATCTAGTGGATTCTAGTTTGTCTTTAAAAAAAAAAAACAAAAATCATACAGGGGGGGTTTTCACTCTTTCGTAACTGTACGGCCAACTTCTAATTTGTCGTTATCTCTAGAATTACTTTTTTTTAAAATAAATATTATTATTGAAATACTATTATTTTTTAAATAGCAATATATATATATAATCTAGAAGAAAAAAAAAATCTTGAGGAAGCTGATATGATACTCTCCTGTTTCAGTATTTTTTTTCTTTTTTTATAAATTTTCTTGGTTTTAATACTTTTTTATCATTTATTTTTTCCTTTTCCCATAAATTTGTAAATTTTTTTATCACCATGGCAATTTAAATAATTATTAGACATAAATATTATTTTAAAAAATAATTTTCAATTCCTAATTAATCAGTAATTTAACAATCCTTCATAAAATTTAAAATTTTAAAACTTACCTCTTCTTTGTTCTCTCTCTATTTATTATCTCCTCCCTAGGAATTAAGTTCCCACATTCCATTCCTCAAGCGGAATTCAAATTCCAACATTGAACACAATGATTTTCTTTACAATTTTTTCTTTTATTTTGATATATGTATGATATGCTTTATTTCTTTCTAACAAAAAATTAATCTATCATTTTATTCTCATTTACAGCTCTAAAGCCGTACAAGATAGCTTCGACTGTCAATATTGGAAATCCTGCAAATCAAGAAAAGATCAATCTAATTTTCAAGAATGGCTACTACTTGTTAGCTACAAGCTTACAATCTTTGACTTAGTTTATTCTCTTAATGCAACAGTGGAGTTATGAAATGTATATGTTGGCGAATAAAAATTTTATAAATAAAAAAATTTTTTATTCGTTGTTTTATTTTTTATATTTTCATGTAATTATCATTATAATAATATTGATGTTTTTTTTTTTTGAGCTTTTTCTATTATTGAATTAATATATTGCATACAACTTCAGATTTGATATGATTTTAATGTTTGAATATTTGAATTTTAAAAAAAATTTGCTGGGAAGAGATTGGATATATATATATATATAATGTGGCATCTTATCTTAGAGATTTCTACAAAAATAAGCTTGACAAAGGTTTTAGTATCAAAATGCAGCAGAATTGAATTGACGACTTGAACCATTACCTGAAGAATTAGATGCTAAAATAAAAAGTATAGAATTATTGTATATAATTTCGTTTTATGATAATGTTTTAATTTAATACGTTTTGGTGGTCTAGTTTTTTGAAACATTTTATACATAAAACTAACTATACCAATTAATTATCCAAATCTAAATTATATGAATTTGTTTGAACTTTTACATAAACTAATTAAGGAATGTTCAATAGTTTTCAAATTTACATTGAAAAATAATTTAATAATCTCAAATCTCTGTCAAATCTTTTAGAATCATTAGGAGTTCCAATTTAAAATCAAATATACATCTTTATAAAATATGTCCTTTATGAGTTTAACTTGTATTTATACGTAAAAACTTTATTTAATCACGGTGAAATTAAATGCCTACTAATTTAAAATTTTAATGTTGTTATCTAAATTATCTAAATAAATTAGAAACTTAAAATATAATATACAGTAAAAAAGCAAATCGTGCATTGTGTTTACCTAATTATATTATTATTTCTAAATGTTTTTAATTTGTGAATAAAAATAATTGAAATTATGTTAAATAAAGATTTAGTTAATACTAATATTTAATATTTATTTATTTGAGTGTTAAAAAATTAAATTATTTGAAATTTTAAAAATTTAAATATTCAAAAATCAAAATATGTTTGTGTACCCTCCTATCTCTTATTTAAATTGAGTTTTTGATGTAAAATAATAAATTATAAACATTAATATGTAAAATATTGGAATATAATCAATATATTACATGATTCCTTTTTTTTTTCAAGCCATTTTGTTTTGCAAAAAATAGAAATAAAAAAAAAAAGAATAATGAAAAATATATAAGAATAAGAAATCATTATATACTCATGAAATCATCAACACGAGATAACTTTGAATGTAAAATTTAGAATTTCATCTATTTTAAAATTTGTGAATTCGAGTTGAAACTTATTCAAATTCTTCATTTGAAATACAGAGTAGATATAAGATATACATACTTTATAATAGACAAGATCATCTCCCAAACCAATAATACTAATCAAATGGCGAATCGTATTATCCAAATTGAATTTCTTATTGAAGAAGCAGCAAATATTAAATTGTGAGAGAAGCTAAAGTGACAAAGATTGTAGAAACCAGAAATTGATTATTATTTTATAACATTTGGTTTTTTTTTTTTTATTTAAATAGGTGCGCGATTTGTAAAAAAATTGTTCCATGGATAATCATCTTCGTCCGTGGAGAAATTAATTTATACCCAGTTAATAAAAAATTAATCGGAAATTAACGAGTCCAAGAATGAACAACCAAATCATCAAGTAATTATAGAAAAGAAAGAGCAAAAGGAGTCAATCCAATCAATAAAACAAATGGATAATCTTGAGTTTCAAGTTTCTATTTTGTAAAATATTGCATTAAATATGATTGAGTTACTAATGCATAGTTATATTATATTTCTTTCTCATTTCAAGTCATTGCACGTGGTTTTGATGTTTGGTTAGCATATTTTATGATAAATTAATCGTGTAAATAAATTGTGAAAAAATGAGCATGGATTATTGTAACATCCTAACTCGGGAAAGCGATCCTAAAAGAGCAAGTAGAGCAAAACTCATGGCTAGCTTCTAGAATAACATACTAGCTATGAATAGAGGAATGTGAAATACATCAATGAATCATATCATATATCAAAAATGAAAAACTAATCAACAAATGTGCATTTTGATGGAATGACTTAGAGAGTTAGAAGACTCTAGATTTAAGTATGCTCACTTAACGGAAATCCTAAAATGGGTGACTACTTGGAAAGTTCCTCGTTTCACCTATGGGACAATTTCTTGGTGTTTGAAGTCAGGCATGACAATTATATAAGTGGGGCACAAAAGATTATTACCAAATATTTTTTGAATGCTCTCTCAAAACGGCAACGCTTTGCTGTTAAAAAAATTGTGCCAATAAGTTCTTCCTATTCAAGAATTAGGGATTTTAGTTTGAAAATCATCAACCACTTTTCAAAAGTTATGGATGAATAAGGAGATTGCAAGTTCAAATCAAAAGATGTGATATGATTATAGGAAATGAACTTTTAGCTTTTTTGTTCTAATTTGTGTGTAAGTTCTTAGATATGAACTCGTTAGGAGTATTTGGAAAGAATTTGAAGAGACAATTGATACTATTAAAAAAATTTTAACTCCAAAATCAAATTTGCATATACCATTTTACCAAGTGTCTTCATTTTTTAAACAAAATTCAAACTTTGTTTTCAACCAAAAATGTCCCACTAAAAATGGGAGAGCCAAATTTAAAATTTTGATTAGGATGTAAATATTGGCTTTAAATGTGTTTATGAGAAAAAAATTAGCATGACATATTTGACTTTCAAAATAAACATTCAATTAATGCAATATTAAGGGCAAAATAGAAAAAATTAGATAAAAAATGACAGTTTACCTAATTTCTTAATCTTTGTGCAAAGTTAATTATTTCTATATAAATGAATCGGAAAGAGTAATATATATTAAAATTGTGCATAGGACAAGCATGTGGCTAGTATAGATAAAGGAGAGGTGATCTCCACTGGCCACGTTAGATTGACCTTTAGTTTATTTATTCTATAGGGGTATTAAGTATCATTAAGCTCAAAGATGGACAGATCACGATATAGGTAGGTAGATTTTTGGACAAAAGTCCAAAACATGATATTGCAGTAAAGAAACATAGATGTACAGTAACATTCCTCTAAATGAACGATTTAATAAATAAATGACAATTAAAAGCCTTTATAAAATAAGCCCAAAAAATTGGAGGGAAAGAACAAGCATCATTCAAAGTAATACAAACATGATTCTTTTACATTCCTTACAGATGTTTCATTATAGCAAGTAACATTTAACAAACCTGAAGATATCGTCATCATCCTCGTCATCTTTCTATCCTAAGAATATAATAACCAAATCCATTCGGAAAATTTACCATAATAAGGTGTAAAAGACTATATATATAGAGAGAGAAAGAGAGAGAGCAGCATCTTTATATAAAAGGAAAAGGATCACATTCCAAGGTTTCAAGTCTAATGTATTCCTGAACATCATCGCCTCAGGCTCTCCACTATGTAGTCACAATACAGATTCCTAGAGAATAGCAAAATTAAAAGGAACACAGTAAATAGTAGAACAGAAAGGATAAAAAAGGATCATATTCAGAAAAGCATTTACAAAATCGAGAAACTTTAATTGATATTTAGACAGTTATTGGACAAGACTAGTGACAAGTAAATATACAACTTGTTCAGAGACTAGAAAATTGAACTTGAAAAATGCACTAAACAGCAAATGCCCAAAAATGCAAGTTAGACAGACCAATCACTTACATGGAATGCTGAATTGCTTTGTAGGCATCAGAAGCTGGAAGAAAGTCATTAACGGCAACTTCCTTGTTTTCATTTTTCTTGTCTGAATATATTATTAAGGAAACTATATGTTTAACTTAAAAAGGCTTCATAAAAAGGAAAAGTGCACGCCAAAATTCTTTGATAATTTGCAGCTTCCTTTATAAAAATTAAAAAAATACTTGAAAGGATACAATCTTCAAAGAAGCGGCGGATCTCAGCCAAACGATGTGGTGGGAGGTCCTTGATATCATCATAATGGCGATACTCAGGATCATCAGCGCAAACAGCAATTATCTTGTCATCTTTTTCACCCTAATTGGTTATCATGAAAACATATCGATAAATACAAGCAATTTCTCTGTGACCCATGAGGGAAAAGAAACAAATACGAAAAAAATAATAAGCAAATAGATTTTCTTCAGCTGAGGATATGCACCTGATCAATCATTGGCATAAGCCCAATAGCTTTGGCTCTAAGAAAACATCCTGGATGCACTGGTTCCTGCATATGGATGTATTTTTTTCAAAGAAGGTCCCATACAAGCAGTATATTTTAAGAAAAAAGATTGTGTAAATTGAGCAGTATGTTTTGAAGAATGTACAAAATTTATGTTTATGACAGCAAGCAAAAAAAAAAAAAAAAAAAAAAAAAAAAAAAAAAAAAAAAAAAACCTGCATAATAACCAAGACATCCATGGGATCATTGTCCTCACAAAGTGTACGAGGGATGAAGCCATAGTTGTGGGGGTACACAACTGAGGAGTATAGCACACGGTCAACCTGCATATGAGAACTTTAGCAACCAATTGTAAATAAATGGAGAAGCACAAAGGAAAAAAGCTTAGCATACAGGATTACCTTGATTAGTCCAGTCTTTTTGTCAAGTTCATATTTCACCTTGCTCCCTTTTCCTATTTCAACAACCTACATAAATAGTCTATGAAGTGAGATTTTAAATGGATCCAGAATTTATTGAATACAAAACACTTGAATCTTCCATATTTATAAATTACAAAACTCTAGATTCAATAATAGATACATATTTCTCGAATCCAATGGGTGTACAGTGGCCAAGGTTCATTATACTTACACAGTTGAATATCTTTGGAGCTCCAGGACCTTTTGTGGAAAAGATGAAAAAAAAAAAAAAGCAATAGACAATGTCATTAGATCAAATCAAAGAAGAAAATATCAAATGCTAATTCTGCATTGTTTACAGTAATATTGCCTACCTATCTCTAGATCATGCCAGGGATGTGCAGCAACAGACCTCCTGCTCATTGATGAAAGTATCCTTTCATTAAGAGGTGGATGCGAGGATGGCTGAGAAACATGGCCCTTGTTTGAAGTCTCAATAGGTGGAACCATATCTGCAACCTGAAAACAGAAGGAACTATAATATATAATATATTATTTACAATTGAGTGTAAACTGGTGAAAACTTGTATGGATTATTTTATAAATCTAGTTTGCAAGCAATGACACTTTGCATGTATAAGGTCGCCAAAGATTGCATCTTTAATAAATGAATTGAACAAAGACCAAGGACAGTATAATTAGGCTTAGAGGATTATAGTATCTGAAGTGAAAAATGTTTCAACCACGCACAGAAACATTTCTACAGAACATGTTAATTTCAGTTTCAGGTTTTTGTTCAGAATACATCCCAGCCATCATCTAATTCCCTGTTGTTCCTTTTAATTTAAAAATATTTTAAAAGAACTAAAAACAACCCACAAAGATGTTTGGGGAAAAAAAAAACTAAATTGGTAGATTCAAACATACAAAACACATTCCTTTATAAGAGAAGTAATCGTCTCATACAAGTTCATTCAATTCCATAAACCAAGATGCTTAACATAACAGCAAAACAACACTTTCGACTTGAGCAGCAGACAGGAATTAGCCAAATGAGAAGTAACAAGAATTGCCATTTAGCATGCGCCTGTGAAATGAAACGAAAGACATAATTTTCAAAGTCTTAAAAACATAAATCAGAATACACTGCAAATATTGAACAGTCCAACAGACTAAATTTAGGTCTCCTTTACTTTGACATTTTATGAACCCATAGAAAGCTTCAAAAACAAAAATCGTTTTCAGTTCTCAAAAAGCCAATACACGCAACTCCAAAATGCTAAACAAACTAAAGCTTTGATTTTTCAAAAAAAAAAAAAAAAAAAAAAAAAAAAAAAAAAAAACAGAACATGAAGCAGAGTTTGTTTGTAATTTATATCAAAAATCAGGTTTCCATCCCTCAAAGAAACATTTGCTAAACAAACAACAAGCAAAAATAAACTAATTTCAAGCAAAAACGATCAAACACAACCAGATCCATAAAAAAAGAAAAGAAAAAGAGAAATTCATCATCTCATGGACTCAAAAATACGCATAAAAAGAAGGAAAAAAAACCCATAAAATGAGATCTAAGCGCGATTGTAAAACGCACCTCTAACATTAACGGGCTCCTTCTAACCTCTGAATCAAACGCCTTGCAGACGAAAGAAACGCAAAGACGCGATTCTTAGATCTCAAAAAGCAGAGCAAAGAGAAAGAGAAAGAGAAAGAGAAAAAGAGAGAGTATTTGAGAAGTAATGGTGAAGTAAATGAAGTCTCTCCGCTTTGTTTAGTAGAGGGAAGCAAAAGAGAGCTGTATGTGTTCCCGCTTTGTTTCTCCGCTTGCCATTTAAAGGCTACCTCCTCGTCAAAAGTATCAGCAGAAAATATCTAACATCAAAATTAAAATGGAAAAATATTTAACAATACGTTTTAAATTTAACTTGCTCCTCCGTATATTCTTTTGAGCGAATCATTCATGGTTGCCAGCTGTGTTTTGGTTTACACGTGTTACGGTTTCATTGGTTAGATTTGACTAAGAGGCTGGGGACCCACTAGGGACAGAGACGGAGTTCCAAACGGTCGTGCGGTGCTGTTTGGCCCTCCACTCCACGACGCGTTATTGTGGAATGAGTTGAACGGTGAAAAGTCTTTGTAACGTGTAACCGTATTTTTTTTTTTTTTTTTTCTCTTTTTGAGCATCGAAGGAGTAAGGATCTGAAACAAGTTCTTTACTGAAATTAGACATGTAGTTATTACTCTTTTGTTTTTTTTTTAAAGGTAAAAAGTTATTACTCTATTAAAACAAGTAATTTGTCTAAAATTATTTATTTAGAAATTAAAAATATTTGTTAATTTTTTTCTAATGTATTATACACAAGAACTAATATTTCTAATTTCCTAAAGTCCATCTTTCCTGCTCTGTAAATTTTAGAGACAAATTAATAGGGAAAAAACTATTAAAGTTAAATCATGTTTGGCAATAACTTTCAAGGTAATGTTTAGTAATTTAATCAACATCAAAACACTATTTATGTTAATTATATTGTTTTTAACTATTTATGTTAATTATATTATTTGGTAATATAATATTTATAATAGTATGTCAATTAGGTGGTGATCTAGTTAGTTTTCTCAGAGGTTTCGAGTTCGAGTCCTCTCAATTATAGTTATTTTTACCAACTTAGTGAGTCAAGGGGTGAGTTACCCTTGTTGTATAACTATGATGTTATTTCGGCCAATAAAAGTCTCCAATGAATTAAAAAAAAATTATAACACTATTTATGTTAATTATATTATTTGGTGATATAATATTTATAGTAGTTTTTTTTTTTTTTTTGAATAAAATGTTGTTTATAAATTATTAGTTTCAAGGATCAAAACAGCCTAAATAAAAGTTGGCGCGATCCAATTCTAACAAATTAGATATAGAATTATCAGCCTTAGCTAAACCATGAATGAATGCACTGATTTGCTGATTTCCGAGCAAACAACAAAGAGAATGAATTGAACTCATTCGACAAAGTTCTACAATCATACGAATTAAAATATCAAAATAAGAAGTAACTGAAAAAAAAAAATACTTCAAAAGTTTGAAGAACTGATAGACAATCTCCTTCTACCTCTATATTAGTTGTTCTTCCGTAGTGTTAAGCCAGTTAAAAGTTTCTCGAATCCCCATCAATTCGGCCATAGCTGTAGAAAGTACTCCCTCAAGAACACAGCCACCACCACACAGCCAAACTTCATTCTTGTCTCGAAGTAGTCAACCGATACCAGCACGTCTATGGTCACCATTCCAAGCTACATCGATATTTAACTTTACATTGTCTGCACCAGGGGCAGTCCATTTGGCTGGGTATCATTGATCACTAGAAATATCAAAAGCCACAATAAATTGTCGAGCTATCTCTCATTCATGTAAACAAAGTCATAGCACGTCTTAGGATGATCCCATCTAAAATTTGTTTATTCTTCCATATCAACTGATTATGATTCCACCATAAGTCTCAGGCTATAACAAATGTTAAGCAGAGCTTATCACGTGGAACGTTAGACAACACCGAAATTATCCAAGAATGAATACTTTTAACACCTGTTCACCAGTCAATAGACGATTGACACCATGTTTGTTGAGCGATCAGACATAGACATACAACATGTAACGCTCTCTTCTCTTCATTGTCACATGCTGGACATCAAGATTCGACATTAATATGTCGTGCTTTTAAGGATAGCAACACTGGAAGACATCCCCAAACCATTCTCCAAATAAATTTTCGGATTTTGCTAGGAATATCACAACACTATATCGCCTTCAATATATTACCATCGATCGAGTTCTGAATCTGTTTTTAATTCCTCTAACATTTAGCGTTTGACAAAAATTAATTAAACTTTTGAAAGTAATTTTATATTTAATGGTTAATAAAGCGGTTATTTGTACTTGATGAATGTAAACTAAGAAAATACTCTAAGGATGTGTTTGTTATTAGTCCGGAAGTCAGATGATCCTTTCCCCATTTCTATACACTTATTTATGGTATATTACAAACTGTAACTGATCAAATAACCCCTATGATAAGATTCTAAGTCATAAATGCCCAACAAGAATCTCGGCCATTGATAACTTTTAATGACTTTATTTTGACTAAATGTTACACAAAGTGTTACAAAGTTTAGATACTACTCGGATTTTGACCAAATGTTTGGTCTTTAACTAGTTGTTCGATCTTCGGTTCGTTTAGTTCCTTCGGTCCAGATCCTTTTGTTAAATACTTACATTCTAAGCCATTGTATAAACACTTAATCACCGACAATTAATATGTAACAACTACTACTTAGTAAAATAGTTGACTCCAACAATATATCTACTATATTTTAATCAAATTAACAAGTAATTCCTCCGTCTTTTGGGGAAAAAAAAAAAAGTAATTCCTCCATCTACCTTTATTTGTTATTTTGTAGATGTTGTTTTGTCCAAACTTATCTATCACTTTGTTCAAAATTATATATCATTGTCTTCAGTTTGTTTTTCCAGGATATACGTGGGATTTGTTATCCAGAGATGTTATAATGTAATGTGGTTCTGTTATTCTCATTTTATTCCAAAATATATTTATATATTAATATATATATCTATCATCTTGACAAGATTAAAGGGTACCCTTATTTTCACTAATTACTGTGTAAAAACATTAAACCACGTATACATGTAAAGAAAATATTTTGATATAATTAAATTAAATTGGATGATTTAATTATTTACCTAATATCGTGCAAAAAACTTAAATAACAGTAAAGAAGAAATAGGTTTTTAACACACACACATATGAAATGGGTCAAACAACAAAAAGAAAATTCATTAAGTTGACACCTTTTGTGATTTAATTTTATTAATCAGTATCTTATACTCTTGCCATCCCATAAAAATATACGTAATATATTTTCTGGCTTTCATATAGATTAAAAAAAATAGTTAATATGTTTAAAGAATAATTTTTATTTTTTTTAAATATAACCTCAAAATTTCTAAATTATAATTATGAAAAATCAATATTTTTAATTAGTTATCCATTTTAAAAAATTGATTAATGATGATAATATTTTTGATTAATCATCGTATCAAAAGTAAAAGCAAATTCGAATCTGAATCTATTATCTAGTCATATATATACTTGCCACTGGCTATGCGTCAGTTGTCATATTCTAGGTACCTTTATAAATTTACATGGAAAACACTTATTTGTTTAACATATATTTTTTTAATTAAAAAAATTAATAAGCACAAAAATTCATAAGCATAATGTTATAAATTGTGTTTGTATATAATTTAATTATTTGAATCCAATCCAATTAATTTGCATTTTTAACTTGAAAGTGGTTTGAGATGTTTCATATTAATAAGTCAATTAATATTCTTTCATAAAAAAAAAGTCAATTTATATTAATAAAGGTGTTTCGCATAAACATTTTATTATAACAAGTATTGTACATAATCCCCACTCAGAAGCCATTTTTAAAAAAAATTGCATTTGTTTTATATGAATTGACTTATTTACATATAGTTTTAAATTAGTTTTGAACTTCAGGGAGCGGTGAAAAGTCTTAACTGTGATTAAATCTAGAACTGGATTAGAGATTTCTGATAATGGGGTTCCGATACCAAAGGTTTACACTAAAAAATTAATTTTGAACTTTTCATTAATTAAGTTACTATAACGTTTCAATTAATTAAATTGAAATTAATTGGATTGGTCCCAAATAATCAAATTGGATAATTAATATGTTTAAATAAATTATTTTACTAAATTTTATATGCTTGAGATTTAAAAAATTAAATATATACGACTGTAATAAGAGACGAAGCTAGAATCTAAAAGTAAGAGGGTAAACAATATAAATTTTAATTACATGAAGTTTATATAAAAGAAAAGAGGGGAGGCAAAATAGTTGAAAGATGATTAAAATCTTTCATTTGCCAAGGTTTTTTTTTTTTTTTTTTTTTTAAAAAAAAATATTGAGTTATTAGTATAAAGAGGAAAAGTTGGGAGGTCAATAGTAGTGAAAGATGATTATGGCTTTCATTTGCCACGTTTTTTTTTTTTTTTTTTTTTTTAAAAAAAAAGGGAGAAGGGGCAATTGCCTCTTTCTTATATTATTTTTAAGAAAATAATATATTTTTTTGAAAAGCTTGTGGTAATTTGTATTTTTACATAAAATTTAAACTTATTCATACAACTATAACGTTGAATATTAAAAAGGTCTTAGAGCTCGATTTGGTGTTATCATAGTAAATAATAAAGTTTTAGTTAAAACTTTGAATAATTTGATATTGGAATTTTGTCTAAAATCAATTCGAACCAATGTAAAACAAGACGATGCCGTAATTTAAGAAAAAAAGTATCAAAAAAAAAAAAAAAAATCTCATCTTCAACACAACAGCATAATATTGAAAGGAGAAATGAGGAGAAAAAAAAAAAGACGAAGAAAAAGTCAGAACAAGAACATGTCTTGCTGAAATTGCCTTTTCTCATTAGAAAAAAAAAAAAAAAAAAAAAAAAAAAAAAAAAAAAAAAAAAAAAAAAAAAAAAAAAAAAAAAAAAAAGAAAAGGTTGATGCTTAGAAAAAGATGCAGAAGTAGCGTCGAAGCAATGGTATGAAATACTATTAATAAAGTAGTACTAAACTTAATCAGAAGAAGCAAATGTCTGCGTTGGAGCAGCGTAGGAATGCCTATCCATTACTGAAGCCAGCTTTCCACATGCTTCTTCACTTGCAATAAAAGCCAAACGACTTGTACCAAATCGTTTTTTATTTTTTATTTTTTATTTTTTGATAATCCGTGAAATTTATAAATTTTATCATAGCTTAAATTTCACAATTTTTGGG